CGGCAAAATTAGGACATGGGCAAGGGTCTCAGTCTGTCTATCTTTGAATAAATGGTCTCCGTCTGAAAATGTATTCCTCAGTAGAGAGATATTATTCTTAATAAGGCCCAAAGCATAGTTATGTTCCAGGAATAAATTTCTCAGCCGTTCGAACTCTTTAGTTAAATGTTTGCTATCCACTAGCCTCAAACTTCCTGAACATCGTACAAAAACCAAACTGCTGCAGTACAACGGGATTCACCCCTCCTCTTCTGGTGAGATCGACGTACGAATCTCTTCTTCATGCACTTTCATACGAAGTGAAAGTCTCCGCAACAATGCTATCTCGGAAGATTCATCGTAACCGAGTTTTTATTCCTACTTTAATTTCTCACTATGTTAGACTTTAAATAATGGGAGACCGAATAAAGTGAAACTTCTTGATAATAGTATCCGTGGGACAAAATGTGTTAATTCTCACCCAATTTAAACTATTTTTGCCAAGCCAATCATTCTCTCAATATTATCGGACGTTGTTGAGGATTCTATTACGATTTTTTGGTTTATAAATAGGTCTTCTAGAATCCCAATGTATCTTACTTAAAAGCTGTATTCATAATACTACGTTTAAGGTAATGAACGACTGATTGTTTAGGTTTTCCATATTCTTATGAGTAGGCCTCACGATCCCTTTGAATTTTATATAAACTTGCTTCTCAATATATCGATTAAATATAACTATTCATTTAAATACAATAATTAGTAATCTACGTACCTTTACGCTTGGAGAATAAACGTTTCTGACGGCGAAGTCGTCCACCAGTAGACTTAGCAACCAAAGGATCGGTAAAGCAAACCTCTAAAAAAACTGTGCCACAAGGCATCAATTGCAAGGGCAAACTGTAATGACGGCAATCAAGGAAATCTTCCAAACGAAGATACCTAGATAGCAAAGAAATAAAGATAAAGATGAGCTTATTCCGTTAAATGCGGTGATTTTATGGCTAATAAAATATTGAATAATTCAAATGCTGAGCGAAATCAATCATTTCAGAAAATAACACAAACGACTGAAAATTAAATTTATTTACAAAGTAATAGAAGAATATAAAATGGGCTACTAAAGAACAAAGAATAAACTTTATAGAAGTTGTTTGACCTGGTTTTCGCAACTTGCTCATATTGATAGGAATACCTAGAATAACGGTCCTAGCCAGGAGTCCATAGTATGTATGATAATTTCCAGAGTCGGAACGTGGACGTGGTACATTCCCAGACGTTTCGCCGGCATTGTCGTCGGCATCGTAAGTGAACTTTGTAATCCATAGAACCACGCTACAACTCGTCAGTAACAAGTAAAGCTGATGATTTGACTAATTGTCTGCTAAACATTCGTGGTATCTCTTCTTCCGCCCTGGACTAATCACCAATCATATATCCTCGTATCACCTCTTCAATATGTTCCTTTGCTTATTAAAATGCGATATGGTGCGTTGTTTTAAGCGAATTTCATGAGAATTCTCCCCACCCCACACTGGCTTGCTCCCCCCCTCACCCTTGTACGGATATGTTGATCAGAATATGTCATATTGTTACGCAGTCCTCCTTCCATAGATCTTATCAGTCTCCCTCTAGCCCTGTAGGATCCGTCTGCTATCTCCCAGGTTCAAGTATTCCACTAGACTACTGTCATCCTATCTGTTCTACTCGATGGGTTATTTCCCACAACCTACCTCAGAGACTAAATTGAGGCTAAGGACCCCGTGTAATTATCATGGTTAAGCCTTTGCTTCATGGACCACGTCTATGATAAAACACGCCTACTGTTACTCAACTAACTCGAGTCACCACCACATCTATCGTGCTTCTTGCCATATTACTAAGTCTATGACTTCCTATGCTCTAGTTTCTTGTGTGCCGACCCACAAATATTGTGGTCATACTTGTTTTTTATTGGGTTCAATGTATTAGGAAAAAATTGCAAAAGAACGATCAAATAGTTTTTTAGGCGGATAAGGGAGGAGCGACGGTTGTAATGGACAGGAAACATTACATGGAAAAAATGGAAGGTATCCTAGACGATCAGAACACTAGATTCGTTCCTCTAGGTATTCCTACCAATATGGCCAAATTGCGAAAACAAGGTCAAACAACTTCTATACAACGAAAGGTGACTGCGATCATACAAAAGACCACTCCATCTTGTTCTTCATACCATTGAATAGATTTTACAATTAGGTATATTAAGAAAAATGGAAAATATGTTCGCCGTAATTGAGTTGCAAGCTGAGAAGGTTCCTATACGCGATATTCGGGATAAATTATATGTAATAGCAAAAAATTCAAAATAGATTAAATGAATATAGCACTTCAAAATGTGGGACGGATCTATTAAATGGCAAGCATGGTCTTATTGGCACAGATTAACGAAAGTCAAGAGATGGCAATCGATGCATCACTTCTAAAAAGAATATCGGAGATATAGAGCATCAGCGATTAGTGCAATCGCTACACAACATTCATAGATGTAAATAAAATCGTATGCCGATCAAATTCCACCTTAAAAATAATACAGTTTCTAAAAGTAATCCATCCAAAACAAATTTATAGTTCGTTTTGAAAAGCAAGAATAGTAATATGATGAGAATCACCTGGTATAATGAGTACAAACTTTACATTAGGCTAAAATGGACGGCGGTAATTCGATTTGCATGAACTAAAAGGGAAATGCTAGGAAGCTATGCATTTGGGTAAGAATTGTAGTTAGCAAAGATTATCCAACAATGTTTGAGTGGAATGTTAAAAACTTAATCAAATTTATATAAAATAACAGATCGTGAAGTAAATCAAATAGGAATAAAAATAATAATTATAGGAGAAACTGCAACTCACTGTAAACCTGCAAGGACCCACTCAAGCCCTAGAGTTTGCTCTTCAGTTGCGGAAAGATGGGTTGTTCCAGATCGACGTCCGACGGATTCTAAGCCGTTAATGTCAGCCACAGTAGTGGAAGAGGGATATCCCACTTGAACCCCGTTAGCAGCCGAGTTTATCCCAGATGCATTAATCGTACTAGACCCAATTCCGACGTACCCTAAGGGAGAGCCAGGAATACTGACATTGCATCCACTACTTGAGATGGGTGTGTGAAGACGTCGCCAGAATACCTCGATCTGTAGCTCTTTAGCTCTATTTACATTGAATGTGGTGCGAGAATCCCAGCATTGTTGGCTCGGATGGCGCCAAAGACTTTCCCACGTTTTCTTGTTATCTGTCTTGGCTACGCAACGCACTTCACCTGAGTCGGTCATGGAAGGAAATATTAGTTAATCGCTTATGTAATTATTCCATTTAATGTGTAGTGCAATCTCATGAAATAAGAACGTATAAAGAAGTTATGATGCAAGCCCATTCTGAGGTCCAACAAGTTTAGTCCAGAATGCATAATAATGAAAGAGTACACAGAAGCGGTATAAAAAAACTATTTATATGTCCTAAAACTTAACAGTAGTCAAAGTTCAAGAACAATGGTTGTTTTCAATTAGTAAGGCTGAAATAAAGGTAATCAGCTACAGGTATAAAATAAGGATATAGAATGATTTTAATAACAGTTATAAGCTAAATTAACGACCCAAAGAGTATTACTTTATTTTAAAGGAGTGAGTCACTTTAATATGTTTTAAAAAATCTATTGCAAGTATTATCAACTAAAATATTTGTAAAAGAGCATTATCACTAAATTGAATTAATCCAGATTAGATTAGTCTATGTTCCTACATTAGAAATTATCATTGAAAATAGAATAGCATTCCGGAACATTATACTACAATCCGATTACGTTCGGATATGTTTAAAAATTGTTTGTGACAAAGAATTGACTTACTTAACTGATCATTGGCAAGTCGTGCTGTCAATTCTGAAGCATATCCTGAAAGACCAGAAGCAGAAGGCAGTCCCGATAGGCCGATTTGAGAGACGGTGTCAGGAGACATGGCAGCACTGTCTCCAATTGCCATTTCTGCAGGAAAAGTCTCCTGTAAGCCTTGACAACCGATACAGCGAAGCTCTACCAGCCCTGTGACTGCAGTAGGTTGGGAATATCCTACACCTCCAGCAGCAGTGACAACTTCTGACAAAGCTGAAGTTGATGCTTGCTGGTTGGGAGGCCGAGACCGAGGGGGTGCCAGTAGCTGACTCAACTCAGGGGCATGTAAAATCTCTTGCACAGCGGTAGTTGCCTCAGGGGTGGTGACGCTGGGTGGAAAGCGCAGGAGATGACGGAGTGAGAGTTGCAGGAGATAAAGTTTCTGGAGGGATTCGCGAACCCCCATGTAGGCCTGAAGATAAATGTAGATGCAAAAACCAGTGAGGTAAAAATTGATTCAATCCTTAATTTTTTTGGCAGGCTCATCATTACAATAATTTGCATAAATTTAAAAGAAATCCAGACGCTCATTTATAATATACATGTGTTATGATCATATAAAATAATGTACTCAAAAAAAGTAAAAGCATTAACGGCTCGAAGGATGATTTAGGTAGAGCCCAAATCCAGTAAGCTATGAATGCTCCACTAAACCAACTAGATACGAGAAGCTAGTCAGGGTATGATTGTGACAGAAGTGAATAGTTCACAGTGAGTCATGCGAAAATCAAAATTATTGTAACCATTGCTACAATAGCTGATATTTGAAAATTGTCAACTTTAATTCATCGGAAAATAAAATAATAATTGCGATGGCTGCCTGAAGAACCACAGAGGGAAATGCGGCATCAGCCTTGCTTTAAGGATGAACTATAAAAGCTGAATTAAAGATATGAAGACCAATATGGTGTGGCCCCCGGTATGATCGCAGTCCCCCTTCGATTTATAGAAGTGGGTTGAACTCGTTGTAGCAACTTGGTCTTGTTCTCAGAGTGACTTAGTAGAACGCACCTTGTCCGAAGTCCTCTCCCATAGTTATGATAATTCCCAGCATTGAATCGTGGACTTGGTACATTCTCAGACGTTTCGCCGGCATCATCACTGATCCTTGCCATTCTCCGCACCAAGCTACAAATTCGTCAAAAGAGTGTTAAGTGAAGTCAGTCCCTCGGCCAACGTTC